GTCGTTTAATTTGCTTACATAAAGTTTTTTATTGTGGTCAAATTAAATCATGTTAAAAAAGAACACATATTGCCTTATTTCTATAAATATTAAAAAAATTCAGTCAGATGATTCATAAACGTATATATTTCTTTGAAGTTATTAACTTTCAAAAGAAATGCGCCACCAATTCTTTAAGAAAGATCTAGCAAAGCACTAATCCATAAATGCATACATAACTGGGTAGAGAAAAGTCATGTGATGATGATTAGGGTTATAATAATTAACACTACACTATAATCCAATCAATTATTTAATTAAATTGTAATCGATAGTCGTCACTATGCCTTACACCACTGCATTCCGCCAAAACTGTTGGAATATTGATGTTTGGATGGTTGGTAGCTTATTGTGTGGAATAGGATATTTGATGGCAACATACTTGTTGTCATCCTATCAGTACAGCCTCACAGGGTTTATTCTTAAAGCCTAAATATTTTCATGACAAGAATTGATTGGTTTGATCTTGTGGGGTGCTTAAATAGTCCCTCATTATTTATGTGATGTTATTCTATTTCTTTTCTTGCATTCATTTAGTGGAAGAAATTAGTACAAATATATTTAAAAAATATGAATGTAGTTTTCTAAGATAAATGTGTTCATGTGAATATCCTTGATTTGTTTCCCACTTTAATAGATATGGGTGGTCGTGTAATTACTACTATTATCAGTATTATTCTCTTGGGTTCCGAGTGGAACATAAGGCTTCACCAACACATCTCCACTTTCTTCTATTCTCTGCCGTCCTCTTCAGCTGATTGACCCCATTACTGCCCATAATCTCTGATCGCCTACATGTCACCCTCGAAGTGATGATCCACTCTTCGTTTCCCATTCGAGGACTTGGTGTCATTCGACGGCCTCCTCAGTGGCGTATGCCCTATCCATCTCCACGTTTTCCTCCATATTTTTTGAGCAAATGGCTCTTGGATGGTTTGTTCCCAGCCAAAGTTTCTTGTTGCTAATTCTTTCTGGTCGGCCGGTCATTTAATCTTCAATATAGAGTCAGCGAAGGGGGCAGTTGTTGATAAAAGTTGGAAGTAGACTGTCGGAAATGCTTTTGGTGATGTGGGTGCCAAGTTTCTGACCCATATAGAAGAACTGACTGACTTGACATTTGTGCTGAAAATTCGAATCTTGTTGTTTATTCTGAGGAGTGCAGATCTCGGAACCAATTTCAGATTGATGAAGATGTATCTGGCCTTTCCGATTCTTGCTTTAATATCTTCGTCCGTTCCTCCTTTAGTTGAAACCATACTTCCTGGCTGAATAAATGAAGGAATTCACCTTTTTTCATTCCTCTCCCTCTGTGATGTTGATTGGTGCTGGTGGTTGTTACTACTGGCTCGGTCATGTAAAATACATATGATATGAAAGTTATTCAATTACAAGTGAACCAGAAACAGTTGTCAATTATCCAGCTTCTGATAATCGAAATTCAACTTCATCGACAGAAGAAACATTTAGATGGGAAAGATTATCAAAAGTAGAAGAAACACAGATTGAAGTGTTCAATTCACTTTAATTTTCACAACATAGTAATTAAAGTGCAGTTGATAATTAGCCTTCACTATTGTAAGGCTCTTTTCCTTACTGACTATTAGCTGAAGATAAACATCTGTCTTCATATATATTATATGAAGTACAGAAAACAAATTACACTATAAGAAATTTGTATTCATAGAAAGTAAACGAATAAAAATTAAAGATTATAGATATGAGAGCACCAGTCTTAAAGATGGATACATATCATTCAGTACTTCCCTAGTGTTTTAGTTATTATTATTATTGTACACATTTCAAGATGAAATTTCCCATTCTTACTTCAGTAAGATCTTGTTTTTATAGTTGAGTTTTTAGATTGAATTTCTGAATTAAGTGTTACTTTTCTACCTAGAACAAGGAGGTACTTTTCAGAAATCATTATTGTCCGTATGTATGTTCACTTATTTTTCATTATTATTTCGTTTTATTCCTTTATGTTCCCAGAGGAACGTAGGGCTTCAAGCTAGAGGCTTAAATTTTCGGTAGCATTGGTTTTATTTTTATGGGATGGGGTTGTTAACCTCACGGCCAACCTTTCCTCTTAACTGACCTTACTACAGGCTCATCAAGGTTGAGGAGTAAGTTGACGTGGAGATCGAACCGTGGACCACATGGGTGGTTGGCAACCGTTCTACCGCTGAACCATCGAATCAAGAATCTATAAATTCATAAACTTCAATGTAGTTCTATATATGTTTATTAAGGGGTAGACAGTTTTACTATTCTATCAATAAAGAATTACACTGGATTCGGAAGTTTTTTCCTTTTGTTTTCCTACTTTTATGTAGAACGCACTTTATGCACTATTATGTAAATATTTATAACCTACTCTTCGATTCAATATATTTTTTTATCAAGTAATACAGATCAATAGAAAATTAGAAGTAAAACAAGTACATTTTGTCGATTTGAAGCTTTTTTTTTTATTATACAAAACTTTTCACTCTTCATTTCATCACAAGGGAAATAATTTAAAAGTTTGACCCTACAAACAGCAATACTAATGATAATGTTGTTAGGCTTATTATTCATAGCAAAATGAAAGAGAAAGGAAGGAAGATAGAAATCAATTCTTTATACATATATATTTATAAACAGTGATCAAACAATGATGTAAGAGTGTTTCTCATATTCCATTATTTGGAAAATGAATTTTTCTCTTTTTCTTTTTAATGCAAAAATATATAACGACTCATAAAGTAATAGTAATGTGCCTGTGTGTCATCATTAACTTTCAGGTTAATATGCATTTCTGACATATTTTCTTTTTTCCAGTCAGGAGTTGATACTTCTACGATATCTTATTATTATTTTCTTTTGTTTGTTTTTTTCATACAGTTTTGTTCATGTTTAGACTAGTTAGTATGCAAACAAAGAGTAATAATACTTATCCAGTTTTACAGAATAACATATAATCATAACAATAGTTATTTCTGATAATCATGAAATTCATTTTACAGCATCTAATACATTCCTGGTGTGCGTCGGTGACACGCCGGTAGAATGCTCACCAACCACGCCTCATGTGGTCAGGGGTTTGATACCCGGCCGCCGACGCACTCCTTTACCTCACTAATCCAGTAATAAGGCTGGTAAAGAGGGAAGGTTGGGGATGAGGCAAGCAACCCCATCCCGTAAAAAGAAACACCACTGCTACCGAAACTTCTAGCTTGTTCCACTAGGAACGTAAAGAAATTAAAAAAAATATTTAAGAAACATTCCTGATGTTTATCTGATGCATGATATTGCTAGATTTTAGGCGGTAATATTGAATTTTGAAGATGAATTAACTTTAGTTCGAGAACAGTTTCGTCCGTGTTTGCCACTCTTTACCAGAATGCATCCATGAACCCATCAGGGATCGAACCCCATACCTTCAGGTTATAAGGCGAACTCGTATACCATTGAGCAACTGAGACGGATTCTAATGTTCCATGGATTCGAAATTCTTCCAATTCGTATTGTAGCGTGACCGTCAACCACTGTCATTGGTGAGTATCTGTTCTCACGTCCAACTTGGAAGACCCCGCTGCTGAAGAATTTCAAGCAAAAAAGGCACATTTGTCCAGTACTCCTTGGTTCTAAATGGTTCCCTAACTGAAGTCGGTAGCTGATAAAAATTCAAATCAATGGAATCCTTCCAAACTAAAACTTGAAAATAGTAATATTTAGATATCAGCGAGAAGTCAGCGAGTGTGTTTATTTGATAAAATTAAAATTATTGGCCCATAACTTTTCCTTATATACATGTACACCAGACACAATGGATATATGCTTTAGTCAACAAACTTATTGAGAATATACCTGCACCACCCCAGTGATTCTTCCACTTTATTTATTTTTAGTTTTCAACCATTTCAGTTCGAGGCTGTGTAAATTTAGTGAGCATTTCATTGTCATTGCGAAAAGAAACTGACGCGTACAACATACATCTGTTAATCAGAACTCAGTTTTTTTGTTGTACTGCACTTGTTTGCCTCTTGTGAATATTTTATTCATATTACACTTTAGGTAGTTTAAATAATGACGATTTTACTTCACATTCTAAGAACTAATGAGAAAAGTGTTTACTCCATTATCTCTCGCATAAGTTTTAAACCTACATTCATTTTGATTCTCTTGTTTAAAGCATTCTGGAGTTTTTAGGGCTTTGTGCTTTCGTATAGTCAGTATGCATTCAAATAGCTTTATAAACGACCTAATTTTAATAAGTATGAAAATTGTAAATGTAACTCAGTATAGTAGACTATAATTGCTTTTAATACAAAAACCGGAAAATTTGGTTTTGGTAAGCTGTGTGTCCACTTCCGGTATTCTAACTATCGAACTGAAGACGATTGCTCTTAATGGTCTATTGGATTTGTTACTTTTGTTTTATCAGATGGTAGCATTGTAATTTGCTGTCAGTTGCGATCTCGACTTTGATTGGTTGGAAGGTTTCATCATGAGCTGAAATCAGTTAAAGAACCACTGAAAAACTGGGACCTCATCCAATGACCCATGAATTCTAACTTCTTCCAGTTCACGGAAAAGTGGCTTAGTGGTCTACGAGCTCTCTGGCCATGTAACCAGAAGGTCCCGGGTTCGAACCGTGGTGGTGGGTGCGTACTGTTGAGGAGTTCCAAACTAGGCTGAGGAAACAGCTGTCCAGTACTCCCAGCTTCTTTTCCCACACTTCCAGTGTCTCACCGATGAACTTTGAAAGAAGCATAACAGTGAAATTGTCTATGTCCAGTGTTGTTTCGAGGTTAATAGTCGCGTAGTAGGACAATGTTTTTCCTTATGTGGGAAATACCTCTACTAAATATTCGCTATGTATTTTTCTTCACAACAACTTATTCTTTGTCTACACTGCTTTTGAATTCTTAGTTTTAACATAGTGTTTACTTTTAAATGTTTTGTGTTGTTAACTTTAGCTGATAGTTGCCGGTGTGAAGGATTATTATTTGGTTTGGATCCAATTTTGAGGATATTGCCTGCATGGTTTCGTTTTGCCCAATGTTTAAGGCGTTATCGAGATATGGATGTAAAGAAAGCAAATCCTCACTTACTGAATGCTGGTAAATATTCCACAACATTTCTGGTAGCATCCTGTGGTGTCTGGTTGGCGATTGATAAAGGTTAGTGGGGTTTTTTCGTATTCTTTATGATTAGCCACCTAAAATTGAAGGGAAATGAGTTCCTGTGTTGCTTTTGTTTAATGAGGAGTGGTTAGGGAAGAAACAGATATTTTACAGGTTGGTGATCGTAAGAGTTTCCTAAGTATTGTTAGCATGAGGAGTACTAGAATTCTACTGGACAGGATAGTTGAAGTATATGTTGCACATTCTTACGTATCCCCTTACTATCAGGATTCGGTTGAAAGAAATCTAAGAGTAACCAGTTCCACTCTTAAGATGTAAACATTGACCAGTTGTGTAAATCATGTAGAAAACTGTGGGTTGCAGACCTTAGATTATTTATGTCTCTTACAGCCGTCTCCTAAGGTAGATATTCATCCTGTAATTTCAGAAATCGTGAACATTCCCATAAATTTTTATTTACATTTCCTCATCTAGTGCTCTCTTTAATTTCACTACTGTTCGATTTTTCTTTACTTCTTCATTTCCCGCCGTGCTAAGCGTGATAGTTTAAACTTCGGTTCCCCTTTGATATGTCTATCTTTTTAAAAAGTTATGTCATACTCAGGAGTCTGTGATGCTTATGGAAATACACAAAATTATTTAACCAGACTAATATAGGTCAGGTGGATGAACTCAAAACTTTAGGGATCTAGAGTAGATCTGAGTGAGTATTCATGGATTTTGTATCACTTTTCAGTGAAAAAAGGAAACTAGAACAGTACCTCATTACTGTGTATAATTCTGGTTTTCAACCATATCCAGTAATGTGTGTCCATCAAATTACTCCGTATAGTTCATACGATTACATCATCTAAAATAACTCGAAATACAAAATATATTCCAGTATCCGTAGGGCTGAACAGTGATATCAACTCAGCTAACTAAGGATCCTGCATGGACACAACACGAAAGCGTTGTAAATAGCAAGGTGGCTTGACCTCTTGCCTTCACCTAAGCTGCAGAAGTCACTGCCAACTTTCGAATGATAATGATAGCTCAGTGGTAACGTCTCTGACTGCAGCAATCACTGAGTGGCGCGGATTCGAATCTCCTCAGAAGGGACATGAGTTCCTTCAAGGCTGCAGATACGCCTTACTGACTAGTGAGTGCCAACTAGCACGAAACCTAGGTCGAAGGCTTCCTTCTGATTGCTTCCAATCATCGAATAATCATCATAACCACATCATGACCAATTTTCTATCACCATCAGAGGAAACACATAACCTTAATGTTATGACTATGAATTAATCATGCACATTTCTTTGTCTATATGAAGTGAGATGCTTTAAAGGAGTGTTAACTGATAATTTTTTTCCTTCGCGTTCCCCAGTGGAACATAGGGCTTCAAGCTAGTGGCTTGAAGTTTCTGTAGCAGTGTTTATTTTACAGGATGGGGTTGCTAGCTTCATGCCGAACCTTTCCTCTTCACCAGCTTTATTTCTGGCTTAGCGAAGTAAAGGAGTGCGTCGGCGGCCGGGAATCGAACCCCGGACCATGTGCATGGTCGGCGAGCGTCCTAACCGCTATGCCACCGACGCACATTAACTGATAATAATGTTCGTTAATGAGAATTGTTACTAATCCACTTTCTTTCAAGAAATATAGTGTACAGCATATTTGTAAAATAGTGTTATGATATACATACTTACAGCAATAAAAAATATTTAGACATCTAAATTCAGGTTATTTTCAATATTAATTTAGACAAGTCAGGTATTGATTACATCACGTGATTTCTACTGTATACATACGTAACCGCTGATTACACCTATTAGAAGAAAGAAAAAAGAGTAATGCTAATGCTAATAATAATAATAATAATCTTCAAGCAGATAACTAACTAACTAACTACATGAAATTCTTTGATAAAAAAAATAATTTGCTAAAAAAAGAAGACAAAAAAGGCACATAGAACTACGGTTATACATTTTTCTTTCGTTGATTGTTTTGGTATGTATAACTAACTAAATGTACAGCTTAAACTGATTACAGATTTATAGTATCTGTGCTACCTGGCTTAGTGAAATGCATAATTGTGATGTCTGGTTTCTGACAGGATAAACAGACAAAAAATGTCTGACAGATTTTATCAAAGCTGGGTTAGCTGTTATACACTTCATGTCTAGAGAAGACAGAGAAATTCAGTAAATGTGGATAATCATAGTTTATTTGGTGGTAGCAAGGTATGCATTAGTCGGAAAAATCTAGTGTGTACATTTAATTGAAATAAGTAACGCATAAGTTGAAGGATTTCATCATGAGCTGATATCAGTTAGAGAACCATTGGAAAAGAAGCTGGGAGTACTGGACAGCCAGCTGTTTCGTCAGCCTAGTTTGGGACTTATCACAGTACGCACCCACCACCGCAATTCGAACCCAGGATTGGGTCCCAGTGGCTTAATGGTCTACGAGCACGCTGGCTTTGTAACCAGAAGGTCGTTGGTTCTAATTGTGGTGGTGAGTGTGTACTTCTTAAGAGTCTCAAACTTTGCTGACGAAACAGGTGTCCAGTACTCCCAGCTTCTTTTCCAATGGTTCTGTAAGTGATGTCAGCTCATGGTGAAATCCTTCACCTAATCAAACAAAAACCAATACTTGAAAATATAACACATAAATTTAAGTGTAGCCATCAAATTAAAATGTGTACGTGCTGAAGTTAACTGTATAGACTGTTATTCTTAGCGAAGTGAAAGACAATGTTTATTTAAAAATTATAGATCCTTCCGGCCACATGAATCCTGATGCATTTTAGAGATATTTTGATGACTGCCTTACACTTGTAAATTCACTGTTAGCATGTTAATGTCTTGTCATTAAATTCATAGTTCTTTAACTCTGAAATTCATACATGTTTCAAGAAGTACAGGTTAATACACATAGAATATTCATTTCAATAACTTACGCTTCACCTTCTACATTTTTATATTCATACTTGTTAAGTAAAGTAATTAATTTCTATAAAACACATATGAAAGATGTAAGCTCCAATCATATTCATTTATCCACTATTAACTTGAATGCCTCGGTAGCTCAGTGGTAGAGCCCTGGTCGAACATGCACGTGGTCCGGAGTTCGAGTCCCAGCCGGTGCACACCTTTACCTCCCTTAGCCAGTTACAATCCCAACAAAGACGGAAGGTTGGGCGTGAGGCTAGCAACCCCCCACCACCCCGTGAAGAAAAAACACCACTGCTACCGAAACTTCAAAGCGCTAGCTTGAAGACCTGAGTTCCACTAGGAACGTGAAGGAATAAAACAAAACTTGAATATTACTTGTGATCATACATAAATAAATGACGGTCTGATGTCAAGCCTAAAATACTATTATGCAGGTATTTATTTTGAACTATGTTCCAATAGCTTGATTGTGAGCATTATCACTAACTGTTGAATAGTTTTTTCAGGAATCTTGTTTTTCCCCCGTTCTTTTGCGTTCCAAGTGGAACATACAGATTTAGGCTCAAGTGTTCAATTTTTAGTGGTAATGGGGTCGCTAGTGTACCACCCAGTCTTCCCTCCCTACTGAGTTTACTGTCGTTTTAACGAGGTTTAGTAGTGCATCGGTCGGCAATCGAACTTGGACCACTTGTGTAGTAGTTGACAAGCAGTGTACCATTGAACCACCGATGCAGCAATTCTGATACTTTATACAAAACATGAAGTTATGCGTAGCTGAGAGCTTGACACCTTGGATATGATGAAAGTATTATTTAAAATTTAGATTTTGAATAGTTTCTAATTGTGAACAGAATTTTCGACGAAAACACCTGAATGTCGTTACTTTGATGAACAGCAAACTTCTAAACTTCAAAAAATAGCCTAATCTCTTTGTGGATAATCTTTCCACCTTTTTTTAAAACATTTATTAGACTGTAAAATAGAAACTTGGAAATTAAACACTGTTTAAAAATAACCAGTGTTAAAAAATTCTGTTCTTTCTGATTTATAAGGATCATTTACCTCTGACGTGATATATCGGTTTGTTTGTGTGTATATGTTTCAATATGCTACTGAAGGAATAGAGATGTGTTGTGTTAGATTGCTTAAGATGATGTTGATTTATTGACAGGTCTATGTGTGCAAGTGTATTAATAACTGAAGCCAAAAAAATGAACGGCTGTATAGTGGTAGCTTAGTGCTTGAATTCTTAATCTGAGCTTTCCTCAGTCATACTGTAACGGCAGAAGACAAGGGTCAAGCAACAGATCGTTTATTGAGAAAATCAAGAGATATTTATAGATTTTCACGTACATTATTGTCAGCGGAGAATCAGCGTCTTCTGATTGGTTGTTTTCTTTCTGGAGGTTATTCTATACTGCTTGTGACCGTTTCTCAGAAAGTTAAGCCATATCTCTGCGAATCCTATTTGCACAGTTTAAGTCTGCTGTGATGGGTTGGTGAGTTCCCCAAGGTTAAGCCTTGTTATTGTTTTTTTCTGATAACCCCGATTCGGCACGTAACATTGACGTCAATTGTTGTTTTGCAATTTTGGCTTGCAGACAACTCTCACCACAATACTGCCAAAATAACAGAAGAATAATTAAAGCAATAGAATTTCCTATGCATCATAAGCGTTCACTTATGATATTGTTTTCTGTGTATTTTTTCTCCTACTTAGACGGTACGTTTCCACTAGTAGCATATGTTATTTCCAGTTTTATTCGATCCAGTTATACATACGCTTGGGATATTTTAATGGATTGGGGTCTGTTAGACTGTCAGTCAGAAAATAATCTATTACGTGATGAACTAGTCTACAGATATAAAGCTTATTATTTCTTTGCAATTGCTGAAGATTTAATATTTCGTTTGACTTGGATTATTCGTATATGCTTTCTACGTTATGGATATGAGCGAATGGAAATTATTGTTACAATATTATATACGCTTGAAGTTATTCGGTAAGTCGACAACAATCTATGCACTTAGTTAGTTAGTTTTTTTTTTGATAATATTTGGCATACTAGAGCACAAATAATCATAATAATGCATCATTTAAAGGCGGAATAAAGAAGAGTGCTCATTTACGAGATAATAAACTCATAGAAATGTAAGATGACAGTTATATAGACTGGATACATAAAGATGAGGAGTCAGGATACAATTTTTTCTCTTTCACGTTCCCCAGTGGAACATAGGGCTTCCAGCTAGAGGCTTGAAGCTGCTGTAGCAGTGTTTATTTTACAGGATGAAGTTGCTAGCCTCATGCCCAACCTTTCCTCTTCACTAGCATTATTTCTGGCTTAGCGATGTAAAGGAGTGCGTTGGTCGGGGATCGAATCCCGGACCATGTTCATAATCGGTGAGCGTCCTAACCGCTATGCCACCGACGTACCAGGATACTATGGTATAACTTAAATGATTATACTTGAGAAAAGTAACCTTAAGATCCCATCAGAATAGTTATCTGACTCCTCAGCAAATCCAGTGATCGTCAGTAGATTCGTTACAAGGTTCTTTGATGTAGGAAATACAAGTTTTTCCCTTTGTATACATGTGTGTGCTATTTTTGATTGTTTTTGTCAAGATACTTCTGGAATCTTATTGGTTAATTACCTCATGGTACCATTAAGATTTCCAACTTTGGAAAATTCAGATAGTCAATAATACTAATACTTGAATACTCATAGTAGTTAAGCATAAATATTATAGCAATAGTTTTTAACCGTATATTGAATCTCTATTTGAGTATGACTGAGTTGGAGGTGGACCTATATGACTTAAAATTCAATGATTAATACTAATTAGATGGAAGCAATCTCGAGTATTTGTGGTCTAGTGGTAGAATTGTTATTAGCGATGTAGGAGGTCCGGGTTCGATTCCCAGCCGACACACGCCTAAAGCCTGGCTAGCTTACTAGCAGGTGTAAGTCCGGAGAAGAGGGCTGGTTGGGTATGAGGCTAGCAACCTCATCCTGTAAAAAAACAATACCACTGCCACTGAAGCCGCGAAGTTTGAAACCCTATGCTCCACTTGGGACGCAAGGGAAATAAAAGAAATATGAAGGGGATATGTGAATGCACTGTCTCTGCCTTGATTATAACTGCTGTTGCACAGAAAGAAATGATTGGCATACATTTTCCAATAGTCTTCCAAGTGGTGTCTATCACTTGCATAAGTGGCAATAAAAGTTACTTAATTCTCTTAAAAAAATAAAATAATATGGTGTGAAAGAATGAATTCGTGGCATGTATGTGGGCAAAATTAGAAACTCCTCAACCTTACCTGTACTTTTTAAAGCAGACTCTTATAATCCGATGTTATACTACAATTCTATGCTTTTTGGGGTTAAGGATTCATCAGAAGTAACAGCTCTCAGTTTCTGAAGGAGAAAAGTGTAACTAGTTACCTTCTTAAAACAGTACTTTCTATTATTAATATTCTTAAATAATCAATGAGAAATGTCCTACTAAAAATTAACAAATTTTCTTACATTAGATGGATTTATGAGAATGAATATATTCGCTTATCAATAAAATAAGGTAGACTTAACTGTTTTAATCCTGCAACACTCAGATGAGTGACTACAATATACGTGATTATTAAAATTAATTTCAATAAGAAGTCTGTTGAAAACCAAAAGCAAGATAGTTGAAAGCTATTGATCTTTAAGTCACATGGAAGTCACAAGTCGTACAGCCGGCGAATGTATGATGTTACAGTTTTCATCAAAATCTAGAAGAAATCTAGAGATGATGGACCATTGTATTTCAGACATTGCTTATGCGTTCTGTGGAGTAGTATCCCCCTGAAGACTCCTCTTCTCTCTTCCTCTCTGTTTTCATTTAAATAAGGATTAAAAACAGTTTTTGACTGCACAACTACATAAGTTTATAACTTTTTGAGAGAAAAAACTAATGACAGCACAAAAGTGGATTATTTTTAACAACAGATTAATAATTTAGGTGTTGATTTGATTTCAGGATCTTATGATGAACTGACATCGGTTAGAGGACCATTGGCAAACAAGCTGGGAGTACTGGACACCTGTTTCGTCAGCCTAGTTTGTGAGTCTTCATCAATTTGCACCCACTGGGGTTCGAACCCAGGGCCTTCCAGTTACAAGGTCAGCGAGCTCGGAGACCATTAAGACCACTATTGCTATTTTGTTCTAAATGTGTATGAGAAAAGCGAAAAAACTTGAGAAGTGAACCTGGAATGGTGAAGAATTTTCCATCAGTGACATCTGGAATATTGTTAAGGTGCTTAACAAATTGGTATTTGTCGACGGTGGTAAAGTAAAACAAGCAACAGTGTTTCTCTTTTGGTGGCCACATTACAACCTGACTGATAGAATTCAGTCTGCACCAAGGAGAGGACTAGACACATCACACTAGTTACTGGTGTCCAATGAAAATACTCACTACAGTCCTACAGGAGGTCAATCACGATCCCGAATAGCTCAATGGTAACGTCTCTGACTGCAGCGCTCACTGGGTGACGTGGGTTAGAATCCCCTCAGAAGGGTTATGAGATCCTTCAAGGTTTCAGATACGCCTTGCTGACTGGTGAGTGTCAACTAGCACGAAACCTAGGTCTAGGTAGGGCTTCCTGCCGATTGCCTCCAACCATCTAATATCATCAAATCAATGTGCACCGTCTGTCTGTTTTCGAGATAGAACTTTGCACATATGTGCGGCAGTTCAAGTCACCACATTCCATGAAGCACACAAAGCAAGAGAAGAAAGTAGGAGAAATGCATATTAGAGACAGTAAACAGAAGTGTGAGACAAAGGAATAGTAATAACGGAGAACAAAACAGTTCAATTGGAAATCATAAATCACAAGGAGTGGATGCATCTGAGCCAGGCATTGAGAACGATTTTGAGCCATGTCACCAATTGTTTCCAACCACTGGATTTTACCGTCCCGAGGACCTCAACCAGGAAGTGTACACCTTCCTACATGGCTTAGACTAACTGTTGTAGATTTCATTGACTGGTGCCATGTTTTGGTTTGACCGCCGCTAGCTCTTTTCCAGCCTGACCCTATATCAGCTAACATTGCCCATTGTCGAGGAAGGCGATGACTAGGCATACGTAACACATGTCCAAACCATCTCAGTCGATGTGCACCGTGATGGCGAGCTACCTGGAATGGTGGCCACATTACAACCTGACTGATAGAATTCAGTCTGCACCAAAGAGAGGACTAGACACATCACACTAGTTACTGATGTCAAATCAAAGTGTTTCTCTGTATTTTAGAAATTTAATGCTTGTATCATTAATATTTTAGACAGGTTAATTTAAACGCCAATCAATTATGGTAGGCTTTTAATCAATTTTATACATCTAGTCATGTTTTTCTGGATTTTCTTTATATCATGGCAATAAAATAAGCACTAAAAATGAATCTGCTTTTATGTTTGTTTTCTTCCTCTCTTCTTCTTCTTTTTCTAAAGACGTTTTATATGGAATTTCTTTCGATTGGAAAATGAACACTTGAATAATTGTGGTCAGTTCAGAGCAGTTCGTGACATATTTATTACACCTTTACCTAAAAGACCACCTCGAACATCATCATTAACATTTGATAATCCTAATTCACATAATTCTGGTCTTTCAAAGTTCATTCGTACAAATCTTACTTCAAAAAATGCAGTTCAACTGCTTGCCTATTCTCCAGTCGCTGGACGAAGAAGTGTACCTGATTTATCAAGTGAAAAAACTTTTGATCCATCGCATAAAACTAGTCATTTTCAGGCATGTGATGGATTAGTTAATCAAAGAAGAATTGGTGTTGTAGAATCTGAGTATGCACCATCGCCGACATTTCAGATGCCATTGGAAAATGAGAAAATATTACCAGATACAGCGTACAAAAATCCTTTACATCGGATTTGGAAACAGTTGAAGTCTTTAGGGAAAAAGTCAATCAATGTAAAACAGTGTAATTATGAAATGTCAGCTGTTGACTCTACAGATAATCTCTGTCATGCTAAACCAACATTCACCTTATTTGTTGATGGTGAAGATATTCAACATACTCCAGATCATTCACCTGCTCTATACTGTTCCGGAGAAAGAAATTTTTCATCCTCTCAGAGATCACCTGATATAGTAATAAATCAGCCAAACTTAAATCTTTCTGGAGTTTCAAAACCTCGTGTTTTTGTAAGAGATAAACGCGTGCTAATATTAGATCGTCAAACAGATAAGGAATGGGGAGAACCTTATGAAAAATGTAAACTTGATGTAAGTTCTACTGAATTATATACTTTGTCAGTTTTAATTAAATGTCATTTTAATAGGTATTTTAAGCACATTTTCTATTCGCTTAATTGACCGGTATTAGGAAATAAATACCTTTATTTTATTTAATACCTATGTGTTGGTTGGTTTGACTTTTCTCATGGCTTTATTCAAAAGAACTATGCATCGGACAAGTAATCACAAATCATCGTTGTGCAAACCATTGTCGACGATTTTAGGTGATATTACTTAAGGTCGATATCACTGACACAGGTGCATTCGTATCTCACATTCATCTCACTTGTAACCTCATATTTTTTTGCTTTCACTTTCTATTCTCCTTAAGCATTCCGCTTCTTACCTTCTACTTGATGCATGGAGGGATTATTATTATACTCTTGCGATCCTAGTGGAACATACGGCTTCAACAACTCATCTCCACTTTCTTTTCTTTTCTGATGTCTTCTCTAGCTGGGCTGACGATCGCCCATAGTCTCAAATCTCCTCCTTCCACGATTTCCTCCATGTCACTCTTGAAGTGATGACCCATTCTTCGTTTCCCATTCGAGGGCCTGATGTCATTCGACAGTGTCGTCAGCGTATGCCCAATACATCTCAATTTTCTCCTACATATTTTTTGAGCAGTCAGCTCTTGGTTGGATTGTTGCCAACCAGAGTTTTTGGTTGCTAATTCTTTCTAGCCAGCCGGCCTGCCCTTTGATCTTTAATATGGAGCCAGTGGACATGGCAGCTGTTGATAAAAGTCTTCAGTGGACTGTTCGAAATGCTTTTCGTTATATGCATTGCAAGTTTCTGACCCGTATAGAAGAAGTGACTGACTTGAGATTTGTGCCGAAAATTCTGATCTAGTTCTTCACTTTAGCTGAGTGCAGAAGACTTTCGAGCTGATTTCAGGTTGATGAAGGTGTATCTTACCTTTCTGATTCTAGCTGGCTTTGATATCTTCATCCGTTTTGACTTCCTGTTGTTGAAACCGTGCTTCCTGGCCATATAAGTGAAGGAGGTAACCGCTGATAAATCTCTCCCGTTGATGTTGATTGGTGCTGGTTGTTGTTGTTGTTGTTGGTGGTGGTTGGTTATCTTCATCACTTCCATTTTCTCTATGTTCACCTGGATGGAGTCCTCTCTTCGCTGTCTGCCTTTTCAGCCACTTTGTTGGTTTTCTCCTGCAAGTCTTCGAGTGTGTGTGGCATTAAACATAAATCGTTCACACGCGAAATCCAGATCTTCTAGATTCTTATCGGTGGTCCAACGTATTCCTGTCTTCTCACTGCCAACGCACAGTCTGATGCATAATCCAGTCCACCACAATTGGAAATTACATCCTGTATTCACTTCGAATGCCTCGCTGAGTTTTCCGTTGTGGATCACCTAACACGTGGCATTGTCACATAACCAACTGTTGAATGAGGTTGACGGAGAATTGAGGTACGCCATAGTGTTGAAGTGGTTTCCAAATTCTCGGTGAACGCTGTATGTCGAAGGCCCTCTCGAAATTGATGAAGTTGAATCCATCTTATTCTGGGCTAGCGTAGTTCTGCATCCAGTGAACCCTCTATTCTCTCTAGGATGATGCGACTCAGTATTTTACTTGGCGTGGACAAGAGCATTAGTCCGCACCAGTTCTTGCAGAGGCCTAACTGGGTAGCCCTTCTTTGGGAGCTTGACAACGTAGCCTTTCTTCCAGTCAGTTGGTACCTTCCCTTCCTTCCAAACGTTTTGGAACAATGGTATGAGAACATCTGTCGTAATCTCTGGGTCCGTCTTCTGTGCTTTGGGGGGGGAATTCGGTTTGGCCCTGCTGCCTTCCCGGTAGGTGTTAATTAACTTGATGGCATTCAGAATTTCGTCTTTCGTTGGAGGATTGGTGTCCACTGGCAGGCACTTCTGTGCCTGCTGTTGGTGGTATTTCTGGGCAAGTTGCCGGTGGTGGTCGATTCAAGAGTCCTTTAGGGTGATCAGTCCATTGGTTTATTTGTTTCTCTTTCCTGGTAATCAGGTTACCTTGAACATCTTTTATTGGTTTCATCTGCGTTGATTTCTTCCCGGATAGTGAGTTAGCTGGTTATTTGATATAATGTCCTCAGGTCTGTTTTACCTGCAGTCCGCGGCCTGTTCTGCTTCACTCGCCAACCAGTGTATCTTAGAATTGTTGTTTATCTTTTCTAGCACTCTTCTTCACTTCTTTATTCAGTGCAGTGTACACTGAATTCAGCTTCTCCTTCTCTTGTCCATCTTTGCATTGAGTCATCTTCTCTTCCACCATCCTCCTCTCTTATGTTAGCTACCTCGTAGGTATTCGTTGAGATCCATTTCTTGTCTTGTCTCTTATTTCTTTCCTGAACAGTTGTACACGTTTCCTTAAATATCGCTTTCACAGAGCTCCAACACACAGGTCTCCTCAGTTATACCACGTACTGTCTCCGACTTTGTTCTGATATCTGTAGCGAAGGTATCCATTGTAGTTTTGTCCTTCAGTTTTTGAATGTTGAACTTGAATTACAGTGGCCTGTCTCCATTTGTTCTGAAGGATTTCAGCTTCATCTTGAAAGTTCCTTGAACTAGATGATGGTTTCAGCCCACATCTGCTCCTCTTCTCAATTTTGAGTGCAGCAGACTGGTTGTGTCCTCGCTTTCTTGAGTAATACTGAGATGAAATCTATCTGGTTCTTGGTGTGTCCGTCAGGTGAAATCCATGCTGCTTTGTGTATATCCTTGTGTCTGTACACGCTTCCTCCGATGACCAAATCATTGGAAGTGGAGAAGTCTGCGAAGAGTTCTTCATTGCTAGCACTTTCACCGACAGCCTCTTGACCGAATATTGTTTATCTTCCTGTATTGTGTGCTCCCATTTTGGCTTGCATTCGTATCGCCCATAAGGATTTTGATGTCTCCATTTGAGATGTTTTCCGTTACTGCTTTCAGTTGTCTGTGGAAATCTTCCTTCATCTAGGCAAGGTAATGAAAAGAGGAAACAATAAAATTATTCTTCCTTTGTACGTAATTTATTCGGTTTTGTCACATGTATAGTAGAAATATGTTTTCTAATCTGAAATAGAAGTAAAGAAAGCTTTCTGAAAATGTCTCTCTTCTATTAAATTCACTTTCTCGATTCTCCATTCCAAATACAGAGAATGCCTGTATATTCACCTGTTTCCATGTATAATCAATCCGCTTACTTATCTCAGGGGTTTACGAACACTCTGATGGGTTATCTTCAATATAATTAAAAGTGTGTTGACTTATAACCAGAAGTATAAGCCATACAAAACCCAAATGTGGAGTGATTCGACACCAATTAACTGAGTTTCAAGTATGTAAACATTCCATAAATTTATTCACTCAGGTATAGATAACCAATTATTTAATTTCCTTCTTTTCTTAACAGAAATGTAAAGTTGCAATAAATGACTACCCAATGCCATCGTCATCATCATCATCACCATCAAAAACTTCAATCATGAAGTCGAGTACCTCTCAGCAGCGTGTGGATCAACACTGTGATAATAATGATGGTTATCCTGGAAATAGCTTGGATATCAACACGAATTTAGACTCTCCAGTATTAAAGGGTAATTCACCAACCATTGGAAGTTTACATCATTCAAATACATCAACTACATTTGTAAGCCAAGATAATTCAGACCTTGATCCATTATGCATTGATGTATTAAGTCCAAATAATACTGTAAGGGATGAAAATAAAACAAACATTGTTCCAGTGAATGTCGGGGTTGAAGATCAATGGAAATGTTCTATACCGATTGCAACTATTTCTGATTGTGAATCTACTAATATTTCTCCGAATAAACTGTGATGGCATAATTATATCACAGCACAACAATAAGCTGACAAATACCAGTGCAAAACGTTTAGGTCAGTTTACTGGTTTTATATATATATATATATATATATACTGAAATATTTTAATTTTGTTTGTATCTATATCTTTCCTATGCTCACTTATTATCGCTTTGTACTGATCAGTCTGATTCTAAGATACATCTATGAAGCTGAGAAATAATTTCTCTGCTATTTGGGGTTCGGACTAGTGGTACTCATTCAGCTATTTCTCATTCCTTGTCCAGCTGATTGGAAAATAGAAAAAAAATCTAAAGCATCTAGTAACCAGTTTTATTTTACTTCTTGCTTCTTTGCAATGTCATTTGACTTAGGGGTTACCTTTTACGTTATGCAGAATAAGCAAATTCATACCATATTTTTTACATTAGAAGGTAGTATTATTCATTCTTATAAAAAGAGGCTTGCAAATTTCAAGTTTGACCACGGATTGATTACAGTTAGAGAACCACTGGGAACCAGGAAGTACTGGATGGTTGTATGTACCCACTGGGTTTCGAACCCAGAACCTTTCGGTTACAAGTCAAGCTCGTACACCATTCAACCATTGGGACCCATAAATTCTGACTTCTACCATTTTAGCGCGACCACCAACCAATGTCATCGGCGAGTAATTTATCCTCACTCCAAAATGGACAAACCCCACTGGTCATACCTTCTCACTAGAACTCCAGGATACTCCGTCTTGTATCCAGTCACCAGCGACCATCAGAATAATTTCCAAGAGTCAGTTTGTAGGGATTTGATTTGTTTCAAGTTTCATCACGGAATTGTTTGAGTTTAAAGCCTTTATTGTAGTTTACATTCGTTGTGGATAACTTGTTTTATTGATCGTTGTCTTTGTCATTCACGAATGATTTTTGAAATGATAGCTGCTTTTGAACTGGTGACAAGGCATAATCTTATGAAACTGACTAATTTAGTGAAATGATTATGTTGTAAGTATACTCGTATCCTATTTTCCTAAATATCCATCGGTGTTATAAAAATTTAAGGAAATATCTACGCATGAAATATGTCTGTCTGTTTGTTTTCGACATAGAACTTTGCACATATGTGCGGCAGTTCAAGTCACCACACTCCATGTAGCACGCAAAACAAGAGAAGAAAGTAGAACAAATACAAATTAGAGACAGTAAACAGAGGTGTGAGACAAAGGAATAGTAATAACGAAGAACAAAACAGTTTCATTGGAAATCATGAGTCACAAGGAGTGGATGCATCTGCGTCGGCCATTGAGAACGATTTTGAGCCATGTCACCAATTGTTTCCAACCACTGGATTTTACCGTCCCGAGGACCTCAACCAGGAAGTCTGCACCTTCCTACGTGGCTTAGACTGACTGTTGTAGATTTCATTGACCGGTGCCATGTTTTGGTTTGACCACCACTAGCTCTTTTCCAGCCTGGCCTTATATCAGCTAACATTGCCCATCAGTCGAGGAAGGTGATGACTAGGCATATGTAACAGATGTCCTTACCATCTCAGTCGATGTAATTTTATAGCCTCGAAATTACCACCAATGAGCATTGAGAATCTAAACTATTATTATTTTAATTCAGTGTTCAACCTGTTGTCGTACCGATAATCCATGAATAATTCCCATCCAGGCATTAATGAAAACAAAACACGTAGTTCAGGGAAGAGTCTGTTTCCGGCCGATTCATTTTCTTAACTGTACAATCCCAAATATATGTATATATGAGTTATTTTGTATGTATGTGTACATTAAGTTTGTCAAACAAAAATACAATTGGTTATGGTTATTTTAACTAAACAGGTGAAAATTAATAAGCTTTGGGTAGAGTGACGTAATACAAAAACGGTCAAGAAAATCGAGTGTTAATGAAACTAGGGTAGTAGTAAAGGTGATGAGTTGTCACAAACAGTTGTTAAAAGGGAATTATGTAATAATATGAATAGTTTGATGATTGGGTTGTACTCAGGATACATATAGCAACGAAGTAGAGAATACGGAATTGCGTAAGAGCTCTAAATGAATACAAGAATTATAAGCAATCTAAGAAACAGGCAAACAGACAAAATTAGTCATCGAAAGTCAACAAAGTTGTTACCATGATAGTAGAAGTGGTTGAGTAATTCTCTTTGTATGCACAGCTCCGGTTTTTCTATGTGAATAGCCAGAGCTTCAGCGATGCAAAGAAGATGAAACCGTATTGCCTTTGGTAGGTTATTCTTGACTCTGTAGATTACTTTGAAGCAGGAGGCGTTTGTTAAGATGGAATGATCAGTGTTAACCAGGTGTTCAGTTCTCGCACTCCTTATAACACCACTATTGTTTTTTTGCAACCGTGCTGGATAGTGTTTTTGAGTCCTCTTGGACAGGATGCGCGTCGAACGACCGATGTACCTGACTCCACAGCAGCAGGTGAACTGATATAAGCACATAGAAGTGGTCAGATGCGGGATCTAGTCCTTACGGCTTCTGCAGATCAGTGGACGACTGGAGAACATTATTCTTAGCGTTGATGCAAAGAATGTTCTTCTGAGAGGTGATGCAATCCTTCTCTTGAGAATATCGCTTACTGAACCTCCCTTGAAATCCAATTTCATGTAGGGTTTCTTTTTCGGTGCAAGTGAAGTTTCATTTTTCCAAATTCTTGCCTCGATATCAGTAGTACCAATAATCATTTGCTTAACTATAATGAATAACCTTGACAATAATGAAAAATAAGTAAAAAGTCCCTCATCATAGTTATTGTGAACTTTATCAAAATACCATGATGGGTAATAATGTCTATCAAATTTACTTCCATTAAACAGTATTATAATGATATGCCTTTCAGTACAGTTTTACAGAGAGCTGCAAACTTATTGATTAGCAGCCGAAAAACATAGGCTATCATTCGACATTTTCATACATATAGACTAAAACCAGTCTATGTTTGAAGTTCATCAGAAAGTTTAATTGATAGATGTTCCTGCTTGTAATGATATCGTATTGTATATTTCGTCAATTTTCGTAGGCTAATACAGTGAACTTGAATTTAGGCGCGCATTCTGAATTGTCTGTTCAAAAGTTAGTATCGGCATTCAGTCAGTATGCATTCGATCTCGCCTTTATACTAATTTTTTTCAAGATTATAAATATACTTCAGTGATGAGTGCTGTTTAAGGAGTTTCTTTATTCCCACTATTCTTTTCCCTCTTTAACGCTTATACAGTATCCTGTATTCCGCGGTACTCTTGAAGTTTCAGCAGAATGAATGACATTTCTGAACTCCTCAGATCGGACTACCAGCTGTATATTGAATCTTCTGGCATCAAAATTCACATCTCGTAGGGTAGAAGGTCTAAGCAACTATCATTTAACTAACTGCTTTTTCCACGATGACCAAATATAAGCTTGTTTCTTTAGGACCTTTAGAAACTTATATCTGTAGCTTTACTGAAGTGAAAAAAGTAGAAAATATTGTCTCTATAATTTAATAATAATAATAATAATAATTTATCCATTTTTTCTAATCCCATACATTTTCATACTCAGAAATAAGATTATTTAAGTATTTTTGGAATTCTTTTAATCTCATAATATTTAGCATATATATATATATATATATATATATATATATATAAACAACCACAGGAATATCTATTACATCTATTATTCTAAATGGTTATTTTACATTCATCGCTTCATGAAATTCGTCAAGCACACGTGGTTAGCATCTGGTATAAGCCCATTAGAACTTTCATTTGTTTTGAACTAGCATTTCTTATCTTGCATCCAACTGCCATTCACATTGTTCCTTTCATTGGGCTAATTGAGTGTTTTCACTATCGCTACAGATTGAACTAAATAACTACTTGTATTCTTTTCGGTAACTTCTTCATCAGGCTCTACAGTTATATATCCATTAAAGGATTATTGTGTGGTTTTTCAAGTATTGATTTGTTTGAAGGGAATTTTGTTTGATTAGTTGGGAGATTTCATCATGAGCTGACATAAGTTAGAGAGCCATTGAAAAACAAGCTGGGAGTACTACCAGACAGCGGTTTCCTCAGTCTGTTTGGGGACTCTACAGTAGTGCACTCCCACCGCCACAGTCCAAACCTAGGACCTTCTGGTTACAAGGCTAGCGAGCTCATAGACCATTAAGTCACTCTGACCCAATCCAAGAATTCTAACTTCTACCAATTCACGACATTGCGCAACCACTTCGCAATGTCTTCATCGGTGAGTAACTGTTCTCACCTTCAACCTGCTGTACCCTACTGGTCACGACTTCCCACTAGAATGCCAGGTTAACTGCTTGAATAGGGCTAGTCACTAGTAAGCATCGGATTAATTTTCAAGTATTGGTTTTGTAGGGATATTGCCTGATTGGTTGGAGGATTATGTTATTGAAAATATTAATTTTGGGATATTTTCTTTTCGATGACATTGGAGCATTTTATTTATTCTACCTATCCATGATAATCATTCATTGCAAAGCACTTATTAATGTCAGGTCAAAAAGTCAATATTAATGACTGCTTCACAATTGTTTCAAATATTAATTTTGTTTTTTTAAATAACATCAAATCATTGACATCAAAATTTCAAGAGTTTAATGTGAATAGATCAGTGGTAGATTACAGATCATAGCATGCGTACTTGGTAATATGCATAAATGTAGCAGGATGAAAGATCATACTTAAAAGGTGTGACGAAATACAGCATTTCTGAATTTATAGATTCAATGACAGGCCAGGGTAGCAGTAGTGGCTGGACCTCTTTCTTTTGTACGCAGAGCACCGGCTGTCTTAAGAGAACTGCAATAGCCACTGATGCTTGGAGTATTCAGTACCTAGAGGTATTGGGGAATTTATCTGATACCTGGTAGATAATAGAAAAACATTCTTCAAAGCTAACAATCTCTTTAAACCAGATGGTCTTACATCGAAATGTTGATGGTTCTTATTAAACCTTCATTTAACCACACTGGTAGGTGTTCTTGAACACCAAAAACTAAGTTCACAGAGCAACGGCCAATATAACTGGTTCCATAGGA